GCACTTTCGCTTTCTCGCAGTCTAGTAGTCAGTCGTATTTCGCTCTGTTACTTCACTACTATAAAATTGGTAGTGTAACAGTCTAATCGAAATCGGGGTTGCACATTATGTTGGTTATTACAGTAGATAAACAGTTCACAGATGGGTCAAGGCGAAGAGCAGCCACAAGGGGCTTTCGTATTAGACAGCATTGCCATACACCTCGTCCATTCTGGCGTATCCAAACCAGAATGCCGTTCGCAAGTCGCCGACTTACTGAGCGTTTCTCGGTTGATTGTGTCGAAGCTAAATGGGGTTATTTCCTTGCTCAGGGGAGTTCACGGTTAAGGCAAAAGTTGTCCCTTCGTTCCTATGGAGCTCAAAGCCTACTCTTCTTAAGCATTATGCCACCACACTGCCATAAGAGTATAATTATTAGTGTAAGACGTAATAGGCATGTGCTTCACAACAAACAAGCAGTTTAATTTGATTGAGTCATATCTTGCACTCAGTAATATGATTTTAAAAATATTGCTTTAATTCTTCATGTTTTGACAGTTTTTCATTGCGATAGTCTTTCAGATATTTATAATTTCTGAACCTCATACCGATGCCTTGCTATAGTTAACCTGAAGCTGATAGATATTCTGATAACATTTTTGACAGCAGGAGAAACAAGGAAATATTTTTATTTACAAGAATTCCTACTTTTCAACCGAATTGACATCGGTCCTCATAAGGATTATTCTCTAAAATTTTCTTGTTTCTCGAGTTGCTAACCATGGAATCAGAATATTTATCATCTTTTAAAGATTTACTTTGCATTTTATAATTATTATTATCCTATAACAGCAACATAAACGAAATTTGCACCTTGTGTATTATCATGTTGGATATTCACCTGTTCGGTGGGATAAGGCGAACTGTGGCCGATCACATCGAAGATCACGGCTTTATCTCTTATTCAATCTGGTATGACTAGAAGCAGGCACCATTCTCTTCCTACCGTGCGGAAGACGACCACTTGCTACCGTTTTTCGGTTGGTTGCATCGAAGCAGTGCAGAATAAAGTTCTTGTTCGAGAGAATTAATCTGTCGCCTGCCTAGGCGAGAAGTATGACGACGTACTGATTAATAACCTCCACAAACTGTTAACTTCGCCACTAACTCTGTGATGTACTTGTTAAGTGCATAGTTCTCTGTACCTTATTCGGTGACATTACAGCGTCCATTTGCCCCCATATGCATAATGGTCATTTGATCAAGAGCGTTATGTCTTTAGTATCATTTTATTCAACAGAACATTCTCTTAACCGTTGTTTACGGTGATCTAGAATCAGTGATCTTTTTCCTCATCAGCTTATAAAACCTCAGTTGTAATTTCAAATGTTTGCTGTGCATATTCAGAGTCCCTTAATCTAAGACACCTGCTGAGAATGCGAATGGCTGACATTTGGTTGCTTCTTATAAAAGCGGACTCATCATCATCATGAGCGTGTTCAAACCACTGCTGGCGTAAATTTCAGTGATTTCCTATTTTTATTTCTCTTGTTTCAACGAACTTTTTCAGCCCATCCCGAAGTCGATCTCGAGGTCTTTCTACGAGCCGTTTACTCCATATTGGAGCCAAATCTAGTATCTGACCCCCACTAATGACCTGGGTCAAATGCCTCGAAAGATTCCGCTTTGACTGATTCATGTGTGCAGTACTTTAGGTAGATGATTTATGTTATGAAGTGACAAACTGAGTACTCTCTATTTACCTCTTTGTCGTATGGTGTCCTCCTTTCGGCTCCATTCTGAATTGACACTCACATGCACACCAGGATCGGACAATAATACTTCTTTCAACCGACCATTATTCTGAAGATAATTTTGCGGCGGATTCCGTTTTCAGTATCCGGTCTCCTCCAGGATAGCCAGTGGCTTATGCTGTTTTGATGACCTGCTTGTGTAGTGGAATGTATGTAATGACAAACGTACCGATTTATAATCTTTGGAAATTTTTTAATACGTTAATTATTCACTGTCATTACAAAAATACTGCTTATGTGTTTTGCTGATTCTGTGTTAATCGTTTCGGATTAAGAGCCACTGTTGATTGTCTATGTTAATTGCTGTAATTACTGCTTATTGCGGATGGTATATTTGTGCAATGCATGTTTCATGCGTTGGTGTTTAGGATTTTTACAGAACATCACTTTGATGAGGGAGAGATCGTCAGTGAAGTTTCCGGAAGTGGACGATTTCGAAGGAGCTGCAATCGCACTGATGCGCATACAAGACGTGTATCAACTTGGCACGCACGACATGGCAGAGGGCCGCATCAAGAACGTACGACGCGGACACCGGATGGATGGTAATTTCTCTTAATTAATAGATAGGTAATTTAGCTTCATATAGAAGTCAGATTGATAGTGAAATTTCGAATAAGTTGTAACTTGTAAATGGTAAACTGATCTAGGCGGAGTTATGCTGCGGCACATAAGATTGTGAAATATCGTGATGAACACGATGGCTTTAGAGGAGTTGATGCAAGATGCACCTGGCGCTGCAGGTACTCAAATGCCATAGAGTAATTGCCTGTTTCAGTGCCCCCTGACAACGGTCAATGCAGAACGCTGGGAAATCTGGTCTGGAATGAATTTTGCGTTATTTTCTATCTAGATCCATAGATTGAGGCACCAAAGTAATGTTAAAGTTTGATTTACAAGCGTTTTGTTGCCTTAGAATTAATAGCATGATGTATGCAATACATATTAATTTATTCTTAACAGTTGTAACTTATGCTTATAACTTGAAAGAAACAACTTGCTTTTATGTGTTTTTTGAATCCACTCATCTTCCTAACCCATCATTAGATTCATATCGCATAATCAGCCACTATGCCACTGGGTCCTCAGTTATATATGTTGTTCTTGTTGTGTTTAGAGACCGCCAGAATCATTTCTGCATTGCAATGCCAATATTGTATAGGCTGATCTTTTGTTGATTTGTCTGTAATCAGAGCTAAGCATCAAGGCACCAGTTGATCTATTATTCTACGTTTTAAAGGGAAACATCTATGGTTTTCCGGAAGTTTTCTCCCAGGTTTGAAATCGTTTCTCATATGGAATAATATCCATATTGGCCTGTTAACGTCGCTTTGTACCAAAAATCAGCATGTCTCCGTGAAGCCTGCACATATAGAACATTTAGAATGTGAACAGAAGTGCCTGAGCTTCCAGATTCTGATAGAATCTGTTCTTGTTTCAGTGACAAAAGTTCTGTGAAGGTTAACCGGGGTGAATTGTTTTTGCTTGACCTAGTTTTTATTTCAAATGCCACATATAATTGTTTAAGTATATGTCAAAACTTCGTGTTGAAGTGCTCTGTTTAAAGCCGGCCTGCACATCTGCGTTGTGTAAAACGGGTAGCAACTCATTCAAGTTACTGCATGTTACGTTGAGATGCAGCGGGTGTTTTTTTCCTTGTCGCTATGTTCAGTTGAAAAGTGTTCGTCAAGCATGGAACGATAGACTGGTGAGGCGGTTTAGAAAATGATTGACACATGTTCTTTAAGACTAATCTGTCTCAAAAATGAGAATATTTTGCCAGTAAAATTTCGGTGGAGAATTTGAGGTTCGTATCAGTCGGTCATTTGGTCAGTTTCAATGACTGTTTATTTTCTTTGGTCGCCTGGGCCTGCAGTCTTCAAATTTCTGGATCCTGCGTAAGCGTTTGAGCTTCGACAGAAGATAACCCGAGTCTGGAGCAGAGTTCTTCGAATGCATTTGCCTCAGATCATTCTTGGCCGTTCGCGGGACGGTCGGCCTTTCGGCTGAGCAAATAATATCTGTTTCGCGTCTCTTTTTGGAAACATTCGCAAGACATGCCCAAATCATTGCAGCTGTGACTTCTCAGTCTATTTTCAACGAGAACGCTGTGTAATTGATCTTGAAACCTTTTAGCGGGATACGAAACGAAAGGCACCAGTCATTGGTATTCCCTGTTCCCATATATTCAATAATATGGATCTTATGGTGCAGCCTGATGCTATCGGGCAAGGCTGCAACATTATTTAGCATTTACACCTGATTGGTCTGTACTGCTCGTAGTCTTGTGCTTCTTTCTCAGCGAGCGATGTTTACTTATCCATCTCAGAAGAATCAAGGGCGAACAAATTAAAATCTACGATGTTTTTTGACGGCAAGTCTGATGCTCTGCCAGTGAAGCATACCTCACTTCCATTGGACCCTGAATAACAGTAAGTTTTGTGCTCATTTCTAAGAAACAGCCAGCCTCCATGCAGCAGTGAACCTTAGTATAAATACATAAACCGTTATGAAGTTGCACCTTCTGGATGCTAATTGACTTTGTGAGTCAGAGCTTCCCAAATCAGTAGAAGTTTTAGTACATGCGATTTTGTTGCCGTAGATCACGTGCTGATGATGCGGGTTCGGGTCACGATGCTTTGTAATTGTTTTTTCTAAGAATGTATTGAACAAAGATCTCAGCTTTAACAGTTCACTTAACTGAAAGGAGAAATAAATAAAAAGGACAGAAAATTTAAGTTTCTAATTGCATCGCTGGTGCCATTTGCCACCTGAAAAATCGTGGAGGTACCTAGGGTTAATTAAGGTTGACCGATGAAATTGCTCAATTTGATGTTTGTTTATTGTCAGTTGAGATTATCACCTTGAGCCATTTGTATAAGCAGAATGTCTATATGTGCGCATCTTTACACCACTTTTGCTATAAGGCATCGGTTACTGCATATTTGAAGGAAAAATATTCCTCTCCAGAAGTAGATCTGCAGCTATCTGATTCCTCCATCTTGCATACTTTCCTGCTTTTGACGTCTGCCCTGTTTCTGACCCCACCTCGAGAAGTTCCCGGGCTGAAGTAAATGGTGAATGTTTAACCAGATTGTCTAACAAAGCCAAACTCCTTTTTTATCTCAACATTTACCGAAGTCACTTGTGCCCGAAAGAGAATGGAACCATTCTTTGCATGGTCCTACCATCTAATCTTCATTATGTGTCGAAGCTTGTGTTGTTATACAGCCATCGGTCTTGTTCTTTCGTTAGAACAGCTGTTGCCGTGCCGTACACGGTTTACACCAACAGTGACCTGATTTTGTAGAAAGAATAACTCCTTTCTCAACCAAAATATTGGACTGGTTTCCCAAAGCGGTCTAGACAGAGGCGTTTCTCGTATATTACTCTTGCTGGGTAGTGCCATCGTTGGAGGTGATGGAGCTGAGATACTTAACCTTGTTGATATTTTGTAGGATTTCACCTCTGTTCTATCTCGGTTCATCATAACTTAAGACTTCCGGGCATTAAAAAAGAGGCCACCTTTCGTAGCTGTTGCGTAGGAAAGTACTCGAGTGGCAGAGCCAGTTTTTCGTGCTATTCATCACCACAATATTATCTGCATATCTGCCGGATATCTTGAACTGCTCTTTCCTTCTAGAATGACAGCGTCATCTTTGTCAGAGTCAGTATTGTTGAACAGTAAAGGTAAAAGCACATATCCCTGTCGAACTCCACAAGCGAATTGGGAAGCAGTGAAATTGCCCTCGCTCATCTTTGACAACAGATATGATTATACTAGCATAACGACGCATAATTCCGTTTAAACTGCTATTTTCATTTATTAGTACATTATTGTTTGTACAGACAGTACCTGACTTAGCAAACCAGTATGAAACGTGTCGATTTAAGATTAGATGAATTTGATGACGTCAAGCAGAAGGGCTGTTTCACGCCAATCGATACTGTGGAAATGGTGTTAGGTGGAAGAAAGGCCAATTGAGCTTTGTGCAGAAAACCCGCCAGCATATCTTGATGCTGGATGGAATGAATCGATGATAGACATTGTGCAGGATTAGAAGGCGGAATGGCATTGTGCCTGTTATGACAGTTTTTCTCACATCGTCACAGCGG